AAAATGTGCCAGGGGCCGGCGCTGCAGCTCACTAGGCTAATCCTCCGCCTAGCGGCGCCGGCACACCGGGTTCTAGTCCCGGTCGGGGCGCCAGATTCTGTCCCGGTTGCCCCTCTTCCAGGCCAGCCCTCTGCTGTGGCCAGGGAGTGCAGTGGAGGATGGCCCAGGTGCTTGGGCCCTGCACCCCATGGGAGACCAGGAAAAGCACCTGGCTCCTGGCTCCTGCCATCGGATCAGCACGGTGCGCCGGCCGCAGCGCGCTGGCCGCGGTGGCGATTGGAGGGTGAACCAACGGCAAAAGGAAGACCTTTCTCTCTCTCTCTCTCTCACTGTCCACTCTGCCTGTCAAAAAAAAAAAAAAATGTGCCAGGGCTCTCCAAGTTCACAGTTTATTTTAATTCTAGAAATTATTATTCAGAGAAGGACTGTGGGCTACACATTTTGGTGGGATATGTTTCAACTAATGGACATGGATTGGAAAACCCTATTTGACAGAAAAAAGGTCATCATGAGGATAAAAACAGCTGAAGGATTAAATGTTTCCAGGCACACCCAGGTATTTAACAATTTTCATTCTCTCTGAGTTTCTTGTCCAGCAGCCATGACATTGACCCAGTTTTCGGAGATACTACTTGAAATTCATGTTTCCTCCACAGATAGTTGATTATTTTTGTCCCACTAAAAATTACTCAAAACTGTTTTGCATCTTTTTAAAAGATGTTCCCCAAACTTAACAAATTATGAAACATTGTGTGGTATTACATATATTCTTTTAAAATCATTTGATAATTTGGATAAGTTGGATGATTCTATATATAATATCGCTTCTTAAATATTTACATGACTTAATGGCTTTGGGAGATTTTTGGTTTCATATTTTTTGATCTGACTATTTTATATTTAGGTTTTTAAAGGCATAATATAAAAAGTTCAATTTATTTTAAATTAGAAAAGTATTTGATAAATATGGAATTAATATTCAGGGTTATCTTATCAATTGTTTCTTTGATTTTTCTATCCCACTGCATTACCAGGAAGTTCAATGCTTCTTTTTGGGAACACATAAACAGACCAGACCTGAGCCTCAGCTCTGGTTCTTTGATAAAATATATGAAAATCACCTTTTATCTGCAGATATAATTATCAAAAGAGTTATCTGCCAATATTCTCAAGCAGAGTTGTGTTCAACTCCCTCTTCCTCAGTTTCCCTTATATCTGACTCCTGATCATCCTTCCAGACTGGTTCCTTTCTCCCCTACCTGACTAACCCTCCCTCAAGTATACCTAATACCAAGCACCTGAAGCTCTGATCCATAAGCTAACAGAAGGAAGCCACAAGACTACTGGTAATCCTTGCACTACTGCCTCACCTTCCAGGTTTTATGCTGTGAGTTTTACTGTTCCTCAAAGCATTGGAGAAACAATGACTAAGAAAAGTCTTTGCTAACTTCCTTCAGATTGACAACACTTCCCACCCATATCCAAACCTCATGCGTGGACTAGTTGTTATCATCTCCTTCCACAGGTCTCCAAACTTCTAAGCAAACCAGTTTGAGGGACTAAGGAGTCAAAAATGAAACAAAGCATACAAGTTATGGTCAGTGATAAGTAAGAATCTTTAAGGAAAACAGTATTATTTTATTTTTCAGGAAGTGACAAAAATTCACTGCCATAAATTTGTGCCCCAAGATACAGCTCCAAAAGTGTGAGTTGCTAAGCAGCACAGATTAACCAGTAAAGAGGTGCCCAGTCACCAGCATCTGAGACAACTCCTGCATCATGATTCATAAGCAGGGGCTCTTGGTAGAACTCTTGGTAAAGTCCTCCATGTTAATACTCATCAGAAAATGGGTAATTTCAATATCCAACAATACTAAACTAGAAAAACAAAAAGTCTAAACTCAATGAATACATTTCTAGAAAAGTAAAAAGTGATTTACCTGAACCATCATTAGTGTAAAAGCAATTTTTGTTTTTTTTTTTTCTAGTTTTAAAATCTGACTTACATTCATGTGCATGACTTTATGGTAAATATATTTTAATTATATGCAAATTTTTCAAATCATTACCATTATGCAATTAACATATAGAACACTTAGAATAAGAAAATTCAAACATATTGTTCTCCCTTAGCTTCATCTTTAAATAACGCAAAATAATACCCAGTGCTATATTGTACAAAATTCTCAAGGAAAATGAAAATTGGTTTTGTTTGCTTTTGAACAAAGACACACCATTGGCCCAAATAACTAAAAAAGGAGAGAGAAGACCCAAATCAATAAAATCAGAGATGAAAAAGGAAATGTAACAACAGACACCACAGAAATAAAAAGAATCATCAGAATAATAACTCTACAACTCTACAAAGAGTTGCATGCCAGCAAACTGGGAAATCTATCAGAAATGGATAGATTCCTGAACACACATAATCTATCTAAATTGAAACATGAAGACATAGACAATCTAAACAGACCCATAAATGAGTCAGAAATCAAATCGGTAATAAAGGCCCTCCCAAAAAAGAAAAGCCCAGGACATGATGGATTCACTGCTGAATTCTACCAGATATTTAAAGAAGAACTAACTCCAACTTTTCTCAAACTATCCAAAACAATTGAAATATAGGGAATCCTCCCAAATTCTTTCTTTGAAGCCAGCATCACCTTAATCCCTAAGCCTGAAAATGATGCAGCATTGAAAGAAAATTACAGACCAATATCCCTGATGATTCCAATTCAATCCCATCAAGGTGGCATGTACCAATGCCATCTCACTATTCCAAGTGATCAATTTCAGTTCACAATTGATCATAATGAAAGGACTAAGAGTCAAAGGGAGCACATAAACAAGTCTAGTACCTGCTAACACTAACTGATGGAATAAATAAAGGGGAGAGTGATCCAACATGGGAAGTGAGATACTCAGCAGACTCATAGAATGGCAGATGTCCTAAATAGCACTCTGGCCTCAGAATCAGCCCTAAAGGCATTCGGATCTGGCTGAAAAGCCCATGAGAGTATTTCAGGCATGGAAAGCCAAGACACTCTGGCAAAAGATCTCTGTGAGTGAGATCCCAGTGGAAAGAACAGGTCTTCAAAGAAGGAGGTACCTTTCTCTGAAGGGAGGAGAGAACCTCCACTTTGACTATGACCTTGTCTAAACAAGATAAGAATCGGAGAACTCGGAGGGCTTCCATAGCCTTGGAAACTCATGACCGGAGCATAGGGAGACTACTGATGCCATAGACAGGAGTGTCAATTGGTAAAGTCAACAACAGGAGTCACTGTGCACTTACTCCTCATGTAGGATCTCTGTCCTTAATGTGCTGTGCATTGAGATTTAATGCTATAACAAGTACTCAAACAATATATTTCACTTTGTGTTTTCATGGGGGTGCAAACTGTTGAAATCTTTACTTAATGTATACTAAACTGATCCTCTGTAAAAAAGAAAGAAATTATCAACTCCCAACTTGACTCTTACTGGGATTAAACATGACAATAGGTCTGATCTGATTTCATCATCATTTAAAAAAAATCATCTATTATTTTTCACTTTATGTTTCTGTGTGAGAGCAAACTGTTGAAATCCTTACTTAATGTATACTAAGCTGATCTTCTGTATATTAAGATAATCGAAAATGAATCTTGATGTGAATGGAAGGGGAGAGGGAGTGGGAAAGGGGAGGGTTGTGGGTGGGAGGGACGGTATGTGGGGGAAGCCATTGTAATCCATAAATCGTACTTTGGAAATTTATATTCATTAAATAAAAGTTAAAAAAAAAGATGCAAAAATCCTCAATAAAATTCTGGCCAATAGGATTCAACAACACATCAGAAAGATCATCCATCCAGACCAAGTGGGATTTATCCCTGGTATGCAGGGATGGTTCAACATTTGCAAATCAATCAATGTGATACACCACATTAACAAACTCCCGAAGGAAAACCGTTTGATTATCTCAATAGATGTAGAGAAAGCATTCGATAAAATACAACACCCTTTCATGATGAAAACTCTAAGCAAATTGGGTATAAATGGCACATTCTTCAACACAATCAAGGTAAATTATGCAAAACTCATGGCCAACATCATATTGAATGGAGAAAAGTTAGAAGCATTTCCACTGAGAACCAGTACCAGATAGAGATGCCCACTTTCAACATTGCAATCCAATATAGTAGAAGTTTTAGCCAGAGCCATTTGACAAGAAAAAGAAATTAAAGGGATACAAACTGGGAAGGAAGAACTCAAACTATCCCTCTTTACAGATGATATGATTCTTTATTTAGGAGATCCAAAGAATTCTCCTAAAAGACTGTTGGAACTCATAGAAGAGTTTGGAAAAGTAGCAGGATATAAAATCAGTGCACAAAAATCAATATCCTTTCTATACACAGACAATGCCATGGCTGAGAAAGAACTTCTATGATCAATCCCATTCACAATAGCCACAAAAACAATCAAATACCTTGGAATAACTTAACCAGAGATGTCAAAGGTCTCTATGATGAAAATCACAAAATCTTAAAGAAATAAAGGAGAATAGCAAAAAATGGAAAATATCTTCTATGTTCATGGACACATCAGTATCATCAATATCATCAAAATGCCCATTCTTCCAAAAGCACTTTATAGACTCAATGCAATACCAGTCAAAACACCACAGACATTCTTCTCAGATTTGGAAAAAATGATGGATCTGAATGGTAGTCTCTTGTTATCAGGGACACTACAAGATATGTAACAAAATTTGAAAAGAATCTGCAGATTCACAAAACAGTGTTAATGTTTTGATTGAGTGTTTTGTTCCAGTTAGTATTACCTTACTTATAGGAACTATATTCCAAAGTAATCAGAGCTGATGGCATAATGTCAGCAGTTTATTGACATAGTTCATTAGCTTTATGTAAAGTAGTGAAGCTAAATAAAAAGGAATGCCACTTGCTACTTACAGTTTACGTCATAAATCAATGCATTCACAAAATTTGACAACATACCTCCATCTCATTTGCTACTTAAATTGTGTTGTGCTTTCCACATCTGAAACAAGACAAATTTTATGTATACTATTTAAGTTAAACTAGTTACATTATCATGGGAATGAAGTATCAGTTAAAAATGTGGTCATTAATTCTTTTAGAGATTAGACCAAACTTGAAGATCGCTTAAATAGAAGAACAGTCACATATATTACAAAATTCCTAGTGATTTTATGTTAACCTAATAGGAAAATATGATATGATTAAAAACTACATTTAGCATTAATCTGTTTCATACACATTATTTTAGAAGGGTGACATTTAATAGTACAAAGCTTAAAACAAGTCCAGTCAGATTTTAAAATAAATGAATGGCTTTTACTTACTAGAACAACCCTGTACTTTATAAAAGACAATATTTTTCACTTTTATGTGTCCCATAAACTGAATTTTCCATTGCCCACTTCTAGGAAAACTAATTTTAAAGTATTCCATGGTATTTTCATCATGGAATATTAAGCAAATAAGTAAAGAAAGTGGTATTGTCATAATATCATGTAAAAATTCTACAGGCAATAGATAAAAAAGCCATCCTGTGTATATTATAACACAACAGTTCTGTATTCATATGCACATGAGTATTCAGAAAATTTCAGAAGTACCTTTCTTTTTTTTTAACTTTTATTTAGTAAATATAAATTTCCAAAGTGCAGTTTATGGATTACAATGGCTTTTCCCCCCCATAACTTCCCTCCCACCCACAACCCTCCCATCTACCACTCCCCCTCCCATTCCATTCACATCAAGATTCATTTTCAATTATCTTTAGATACAGAAGATCAATTTAGTATATATTAAGTAAAGATTTCTTCAGTTTGCACCCACACAGAAAATAAAGTGTAAAATACTGTTTGAGTACTAGTTAAAGCATTAATTCACATTGAGCAACACATTAAGGACAGAGATCCTACATGAGGAGTAAGTGCACAGTGACTCCTGCTGTTGACTTAACAATTAACACTCTTTTTTATGGTGTCAGTAATCACCCAAGGCTCTTGTCATGAGTTGCCAAGGCTATGGAAGCCTTTTGGGTTGGCTGACTCCAATCTTATTTAGACAGGGTCATAGTCAAAATGGAAGTTCTCTCCTCCCTTCAGAGAAAGGTACCTCCTTTTTTGATGGCCTGTCTTTCTACTGGGATCTCACTCGCAGAAATCTTTCATTTAGTGTGTGTGTGTGTGTGTGTGTGTGTGTGTGTGTTTGCCAGAGTGTCTTGGCTTTCCATGCCTAAAATACTCTCATGGGCTCTTCAGCCAGATCCAAATGCCCTAAGGGCTGATTCTGAGGCCAGAGTGCTGTTTACGACATCTGCCATTCTATGGGTCTGCTGTGTATCTCGCTTCCCATGTTGGATCTTTCTCTCCCTTTTTTATTCTATCAGTTAGTATTAGCAGACACTAGTCTAGTTTATGTGATCCCTTTGACTCTTAGACCTATCATTATGATCAATTGTGAACTGAAATTGATCACTTGGACTAGTGAGATGATATTGGTACATGCACTTTGATGGGATTGGATTGGAATCCCCTGGCACATTTCTAACTCTACGATTTGGGGCAAATCAGATTTAGCATGTCCCAAATTGTACATCTCCTCCCTCTCTTATTCCCACTCTTTTATTTAACAGAGCTCACGTTTCAGTTAAATTTAAACACCTAAGAATAATTGTGTGTTGATTACAGAGTTCAACCAATTGTATTAACTAGAACAAAAAAATACTAAAATGGATAAAGTATTACATTGTACATCAACAGTCAGGACAAGGGCTGATCAAGTCACCGTTTCTCATAGTGTCCATTTCACTTCAACAGGTTTCCTTTTTGGTGCTCAGTTAGTTATCACCGATCAGGGAGAACATGTGATATTTGTCCCTTTGAGACTGGCTTATTTCACTCAGGATCATGTGTTCCAGATTTCTCCATTTTGTTGCAAATGACTGGATTTCATTGTTTTTTCCTGCTGTATAGTATTCTATAGAGTACATGTCCCATAATTTATTTATCCAGTCTACTGTTGGGGTGAGGTGAAACCTCATTATGGTTTTGATTTGCATTTCCCTGATTGTTAGTGATCCTGAACATTTTTCATGTGTCTGTTGGCCATTTGGTTTCCTCTTTTGAAAAATGTCTATATCCATGATGAATATAGATGCAAAAATCCTCAATAAAATTCTGGACAATAGGATTCAACAACACATCAGAAAGATCATCCACCCAGACCAAGTGGGATTTATCCCTAGTATGCAGGGATGGTTCAATGTTTGCAAATCAATCAATGTGATACACCACATTAACAAACTCCCGAAGAAAAATCATATGATTATCTCAATAGATGCAGAGAAAGCATTTGATTAAATACAACACCCTTTCATGATGAAAACCCTAAGCAAACTGCGTATGGAAGGAACATTCCTCAATACAATCAAAGCAATTTATGAAACACCCACTGTCAGCATCCTATTGAATGGGGTAAATTTGGAAGCATTTCCACTGAGATCTGGTACCAGACAGGGACACCCACTCTCACCACTGCTATTCAATATAGTTCTGGAAATATTAGCCAGAGCTATTAGGCAAGAAAAATAAATTAAAGGGATACAAATTGAGAAGGAAGAACTCAAACTATCCCTCTTTGCAGATGATATGATTCTCTATTTATGGGCTCCAAAGAACTCTACTAAGAGATGATTGGAACTCATAGAAGAATTTGGCAAAGTAGCAGGATATAAAATCAATGCACAAAAATCAACAGCCTTTGTATACACAGGCAATGCCACAGCTGAGAAAGAACTTCTATGATCAATTCCATTCACAATAGCTACAAAAATAATCAAATACCTTGGAATAAACTTAACCAAGGACATTAAAGTTCTCTATGATGAGAATTACAAAATCTTAAAGAAAGAAATAGAAGGGGATACCAAAAAATGGAAAATCTTCCATGCTTATTGATTGGAAGAATCAATATCATCAAAATGCCCATTCTCCCAAAAGCAATTTATAGATTCAATGTGATACCAATCAAAATACCAAAGACACTCTTCTCAGAGTTGGAAAATATGATGCTGAAATTCATATGCAGACACAGGAAACCTTGAATAACTCAAGCAATCTTGTACAACAAAAACAAAGCTGGAGGCATCACAATACTACAGGGCAGTTATAATCAAAACAGTGTGATACTGGTACAGAAACAGATGGCAAGACCAATGGAACAGAATAGAAACACCAGAAATTAATCCAAACATCTACAGCCAACATATCTTTGATCAAGGATCCGTGGAGTAAGGACAGTCTATTCAATAAATGGTGCTGGGAAAGCTGGCTTTCCACGTGCAGAAGCGTGAAGCAAGACCCCTACCTTTCACCTTACACAAAAATCCACTCAACATGGATTAAAGACCTAAATCTATGACCTGACACCATCAAATTATTAGAGAACATTGGTGAAACCCTGCAAGATATAGGTACCGGAAAGGACTTCTTGGAAAGGACCCTGGAAGCACAGGTAATCAAAGCCAAAATTAACAATTGGGATTATATCAAATTGAGAAGTTTCTGTTCTGCAAAAGAGACAGTAAGGAAAGTGAAGAGGCAACTGACAGAATGGGAAAAAATATTTGCAAACTATGCAACAGATAAAGGATTATAACAAGAATCTATAAAGAGATCAAGAAACTCCACAACATCAAAACAAACAACCCACTTAAGAGATAGGCCAAGGACCTCAATAGACATTTTTCAAAAGAGAACTACCTTTCAAATTCCATTGTTAGATGCATGACTTTCTAGAATGAGAAATAATGAAATCAATGTATAACTCTTTAATTTTCATTTCTTTTAGTTAGCATCGGGGGCATGCATTGTAGATCAGCAAGGTAAGCAGCTTGTCTGATGCCAGCATCCTATATTAAGGCATCGATGCTCCACTTTCATTCCAGCTCTCTGATAATGCACTTGAGAAAGCAGCAAAAGATGGCCCGAGTGTTTGGGCTCCTGACACCCATGTGAGAGACCTGGGTGAAGTTCCAGGCTCTGGCTTTGGTGAGGCCCAGCCCTGTCCATTGTGTCCATTTGGGGAGTGAAGAAGCAAATTAAGACCTCTCTGTCTCCCCTTCCCTCTCTCTATCTCTGCCTTTAAAATGCATGTTGTAAAAATGTAGTCAAATTTTGAACTATTTGTTTTTTAAATTTGATCATAATTTTTAAAAAGTTATTTAAAATAAACTCATTTCATACAATTCACAAATACAGTTCTAAGTTATTAATTTTAATTATCCATTTACTTATGAAATGTGAAGAAATAGTTCAAAATATATTGCAGCTGTCTCTAGAATATTCTTTCTTAAATATTTTATATAAAAGTTATTCTCTAATAAAATATCCCAACAGGCTTTAAATACTCCTACACATGACATAGTAAGTAGTTCATGGAGATCATGATAAAGTATATATATACTTTTATTCTGGCATGAAGGCAAATTTTGTTGACTCCTATATTCTTCAATAACCTGAAAATATTTTTTCCATAAAGTTGGGGTGTCAAGATACTGAAGGGCAAACTTTAGAAATTGAAAAATGTGTCAATAGCATCACCAAGTAGAACATGGGGGGAAAAAGAACTTATGACAATATGTAGGAAGGAACAGTTACTGGTAGAATCTTACATTATTATAAATAAAAATTACATAAAGTATAAGTCACATTCTTACATAATTTGAATGAAAGAACTACCAATGTAATATTATTTTCCTCAATAGTTCTCCTTTGTATCTATTTCCTATGTATAACAGATATTGTTATCTTATATTATACTCAAAAATATTTGATAGTATATGTTTTACATAGAAAAAATGAAATCCCTCTTGAAAAATTTCTTACCTTCATGTTGATGAAACCATAACATTATAGAGAACACTTTTGTAAACCAATTTCAGCAAGATCATGTGTGATCTTGATTTTATATGATTTTATTTTATATGATTTTATATGACATGATTTATGTGGACAAACCTTAACACTCCACCAAAAAGCTGTTAGAATTGATAAACCAATTCAGTAAAGTGAATATACAAAATCAAGTGCTTTTTTCTAGGTTAATCATGAACTCAAAGAAAAAGAAATCAGGAAAGAAATTTCATTCACAATAGGTACCAAAAAATCAACTGTTTAGGAATAAATTGAACCAAAGAAGTGAAAGGTTTATACAATGAAAAGTATCAAACATTGAAGAAGAGGTCATTAAGGACCCCCCCAAAAAAAAAAATGGAAAGACACCACTTGCTCATGGGTTGAAAGATTCAAAATCATTAAAATGCCTATTCTACATGAACAATCTATAGATTCAATGCAATCCCTATCAAACTACTAATGACATTCTTTACAAAACTAGAAAAAGCAATCCTAAAATTTGTATGGAATCACAAAAGACCCAGAATAGCCAAAGCAATCCTGAATGAGAAAAGTCAAGCTGGAGGCATCTACCTGACTTCAAAGCATACTACAAAGCTATAGTAATTAAAGCAGCATAGTACTGGCATAAAAACCAATACATAGAATGATGGAACTGAACAGAGAGCCCAGAAATTAATCCACATACATACAAGCCAACTGATTTTTGACAAAAGTGCTCAGACCAAACAGTGGAAGTAAGGACAGTCTCTTGAACAAATGGTGCAGGCAAAACTGGATTTATATGTGTACAAGAATGAAATTAGATCCATACCTATCACCATATTCAAAAATAAACTCAAGATGGATAAAAGACTTAAATTTAATACTATCTTTTGTAGATTTTCAATTTTCAAAATTAATTTGTGAAAGATAGAGGTGCAGTGGTTATGTTGCTGCTAGAGATTTATGCAACCCATATCAGAGTGTTTGAATGGAGTCTAGCCTACTTGGGTTCTAATCTAGATTCCTTCTAATGAACACTCAGTGAAACAGCAAATGGTGTCTCAAGTGCTTGGATCCTGCACCTACACGGTAGAACTGGATTGAATTTTGGGCTCCCAGCTCTCAGCTGTTACAGGCATTTCAGTAGTGGACCCACAGATGAAAGATCTCTTTCTCATTCCTTCTCTCATCTTCACCTTTTACCTCTCTTTCTTTCCAGTAAAAATGAAAAACAAATACAGATTTAAAAAAATACTGCTAATGAGTTTTTAACAGCAATTTTTTAATTTTTAAAATGTTTTAAAGGTTATTTACTGCCGGCGCCGTGGCTCACTAGGCTAATCCTCCACCTTGCGGCACCAGCACACCAGGTTCTAGTCCTGGTCGGGGCACCGGATTCTGTCCTGGTTGCCCCTCTTTCAGGCCAGCTCTGCTGTGGCCAGGGAGTGCAGTGGAGGATGGCCCAAGTATTTGGGCCCTGCACCCGCATGGGAGACCAGGATAAGTACCTGGCTCCTGCCATTGGTTCAGCGCGGTGTGCCAGCCGCAGCGCGCTGGCCGCGGTGGCCATTGGAGGGTGAACCAACGGCAAAGGAAGACCTTTCTCTCTGTCTCTCTCTCTCTCACTGTCCACTCTGCCTGTCAAAAAAAATTATTTATTTATTTATTTGAGAGGTAGAGTTACAGACAGCGAGAGGGAAATACAGAAAGAAAGGCCTTCCTTCCATTGGTTCACTCCCCAGATGGCCTCAACAGCCAGAGAGCTGTGCTAATCCAAAGCCAGGAGCCAGGTGCTTCTTCCTGGTCTCCCATGTGGGTGCAGGGGCCATCTTCTACAGTTTTCCCAGGCCATAGCAGAGAGCTGGATTGGAAGAGGGGCAGCCAGGACTAGAACTGGCACCCATATGGAATGCCATGCTGCAGGCAGAGGATTAATTACTCTGCCATGCAGCTGGCCCCTAAACAGCTATTTTTAAAAGAGTGGTTTTATTTTACATTATAAAGATTCCCTAGAAACTTTTGTCCAAAAACTTGAATATTCAAGATAACTAGGTTTAATTCAATCATATGCTACTAATAGGGTTTTTGGAAAAATTCACATTTGCTTCCTATTATATATTTCATCTTCACCTGATTTCAGGATGAGATAAATAATCTCATGTCTTAACAGTGTTTATAAGTTTCATTTTTTTCCTTTGACATTCAGGACTTAACTTTAAACAAAGTTCACCTTTTCTATAAAATACAAACATTTCCCATGTTTGATTCTTGTGTGTTTTTTTCTGTACTGTCCTATGTGAATGCATGGCCTGATACACAGATAATTGTGGGGTCACATAGATGACTGTGCAACTCCCTGGCCCTAAATAATTTTATGAAGTCAATTTGTTTTATAAAACTAAACAGACTTGCACTACTCTTCATAATATCCATATGAAGAGAGTAAATATACTTGTCAATGAGACTTTTCATATTACCTAAAATAGTCTTACAATCTATTAATAAAGAAATAAAATTCCTTTTTAGATACAGCAGAAATTAAGATTTTTGACTTAATGAATTTAGTGTTGAAATCATGTTTTTCCTTGAGTTGTTCAAATAAGATGGCTTGGTTTTGGAAAGCCTCTTTCAGCTGAGAATTTAAACATTCTAACCTATAATGGAGATTCAAAAATAATTATTCTCACCCATAATTCTAAAAATATAAATAACACAAAACACCAGAGTATATAATTATGTAAGTTCCTAAAAATTTGAAAGTAAATATTTGGCAACAGTATCATGTTTCCATGTGTCTTTGAGGATAGATAATGTGCAACATTTAGGGAAAATGTACAAAAAGTATGCATTCCAAAATAGCTTGAAGATGAATTTTTTCCTGGTTTCACATAGATGTGCTTAGGATCATAACTCTCCTATTTCTTACAGCCAGTGCTTCATAAGGACTCAAGTTACTTTTCATACTTTGAATTGTAGTTTTCCTGATGATCTTGTGACTTCTCAGCATTCTGTACAGGTTCTTAATGTTCATCTTTTTCTTCTTGTAGCTAAAAAAAAAAAAAAAAAAGTAGAAAAAGCACAAATTTTACCAGTACCTGGTGCAAATGTGCCCAATACCCAAATTAGCAATTAAAATCGTATTGGCACACAGCAACATCTCCTAATTTGCATATTGTTCAGGATTATATTTGTGCTATGACAGCAGAGTTGAGTTGTTGCTATATAGATCACGTGGCCCAAACTCTAAAATAATTTGATCTGGCCTGCAATTATTATTGATTTCATGTTTGTGCAAAATTTGATGATTCAGCCAGGAGGCATTCCAAAGAAAGTTAGTTCCCATTCACATTGCACTGGTCACACCATTGAGAATGTCATCAAATGGGAAACATAATGACTAAAATGTGTCCCCAGTACTGCATCAAATTCCATCCATTAGCCAACAGCATTATTTTCACATAATGTATAGATTATGCAGAATAACGCAAACTAATCATGACATGTAACACAGACAGAATGTCTAGATTGTACACGCATACCATACAAGATCATTAGAGACAGGCTAATGCCAGAGACTTGAGAATATTGGACACTATGTCTACATTAAATTTCTCATATGAACTAATTTTTGGTTGCTTGTGCAAGTTCTCTGAGGGTAAGAAAGGTTAGATGGCTTGGTTTATCAGGGAAGCTTTTCTCAAGAGTTTTTCAGTTGGTAATGAGCTATGAAACTGTAAGTCCCCCTTCTCGATACATGATTACAAGAAATTAAACATAGAATTTGTCTTTAGTGAATAAATCATTAGTAGTTGAAAGATATACTTACTATTAGAATCCAGTGAGTTTAATTTTATAATTACTTAAAATACATATAGAACGCATTTTCTAAAACTTATATGCAAAACATATATGTCAAAGTCTCACAAATACATTATAATACAGCATAAAGTGTTTAATTTATCCTGACATCTTCTAAACTACACTATCTTCAATATATACAAGGAAAAGTGACATGCATATCAGATATTTTCCCCTGAGTTACATTACTATTTAGACAAGATTATCTCCTATGAAAAAACAAAATGTTATGTAAAACTAAGGGTTACATTGCTATGCACAAAGTAGCTGACAAGTACTGAAAACAGTTATGCCTGTAAGAGATAAAAATGTCACAGAATGAAAAGCTTATTGAAAAAAGGGAAATTTGGGCTTAGGTCTGCATGAACAAGGTTAGATGAACAGAAACTAAAAGAAAGAATGGACAGCACAAAGTGGAGAGATGAAACAGGAACAGGAAAACCCAATGGCAAGGAGGAAAACACTAAGTCTCACAAAAAAACTTGCAAATCAATGCTCAAAGCAGTGTCAATAATAGTCAAAAAGTGGAAACCACCAAATGTTGCTCCACTGATGAATTGGTTAATTCATACAAGAGAATAGTATTGCACTATACAATACAAGATGATTTGACAAGAAAAAAAGTACTAACACCAGCTACAACATGGTGGACTCAGAAAATGCCTAAGTGCAAGAAGCCAGTCATAAAGAACTATAGACTGTAGGACCCTATTTATATGAAATGTCTCCTCAGAGACCTGAGAAAATTTGAGGGGCGGTGGCGGGCAGTCCAAGCGACTGCTCCTCTCCCGCTGAGTGGCGGCCGAGGCAGTCCCAGGAGCCGAGGCTGTGGAGGCTGAGGCGACAAGGGTGATGCGGTGAGTCGCTGTGGTGGCCACTTCTGCCGAACCGCATCCCTCCTCCCCTGTCCGCCCTTCTTTCCCCGTCGCCCCTAAACTTGCCTGGGATAAACAAACACGCCACAGGGCGACGGCCTCTGCCACTACCACCCCTGAGCAGACCTTCCCGCCCTGGGACGGTCCGGGCTCCGACTTCCTTCACTTTCTTTCTGTTTTACTTGAAATTAATTTAAGGTTTGATTTTGATTTTGATTGTGAAAAGAATACTTATCATGAGCATCATTTTATGTTTATTGGTCTCAAAATTGGGTTGACTACTGAAATTGTTAGCAGGAAGTTTTGTTAAAATTACATGGAGCTTAATTATCAAATATTTCATAAGCATTGATAAATTGCATACTACTAAAATAGCATTTACAGAATTAGGACTTATTGCAGCAAATAAACTCTCCTTGCGTTCATCAGTAGCACTGGGTTATATAACAAGGTTAACTGACAAGACAGTCTTTGGTTACATAGGCTATGATTGTATGAATATTATTATATGAGCTTTTTAAAAATAACTCGGCGCCTCGGGCTGGGCCAGACCAGAAAGCAGGAGCGGCACGGCCCCGAGCTGTGCAGGGGAGCCGAGGTCTGGTGCGCCGGTGGGCCCGGGCTGCCTGGGACAGCCTCGGCCTCTGCTCCACCTGCACGTCAGACTGTGCCTCTGGGCGGGTTCACTCTTCCTTGTTCTCTGTGGGGTTCATGTGTAAGCCAGACCCCCTGCCAGCCGCACTGAGCCACCTCTGCCGCTGGGAGGGGTCCAGGCTGGGGTGGTCGCACTGGTCTGGCCCCCGTGCTGCTGTCCCACCCCAGCCTGGCTGCTGAGTCAGAGGCCCCGCCCCTGGGCCCTGCTGCTGCCGGTACCAGGCACGCTTTGCCTCTCCACACGCCCTGGCGCTCCAGCAAGCCAGAGCTGGAAGGCTCACGGCGGGCGCCACCATCTGCCCGCCTGACTCCTTCCAGAGCTTTCCTACCCAGAGCTCCATCAGGACCAGGGTGGGGGGCGTGGGAAGTGCACGGCTGGCCCTGCACAGGGCTGGCTGGGGTCTGCTGCCTCTTGCCCACTGGCCTCTTTGCGGGGCTCAGAGCTCCCTCCCATGGGCGGAGGCGTGGGAGGGGCTCGGCAGGGCGCTGGCCCCAGTGACACCTTGACAAAGGAGGCTGGTGGCTTGCTGACAGCCCTCACGCTGCAAGGCCGTGCTGGCTCCCATGAGAAGGTCAGGGTCACCTCCGAGCTCCCCTGAATTCCCTCGGTGCCCATCCCATGCCAGCGGGAGAGCTGCCTGGGTCGGGTGCCCTGTGGCATCCCCTCCCCAGGAGCAGGCCAGGGTGGTGGTAGTCTTGCATCGGTGTCTGCGTAGCCGTTTTGAGCTAGAACTAGCATTTCGGCCCCTTCAGAGCTTAGTGGCCGCGCCGTCTCGGGCAGCCATGCCTGCTGCCCCCGGGAACCCCGCACCCATCGGCCGGCGCTCCCACGGCCTCTTCCCTGTGGACCCTCTCCCAGCCTCTGGCCCGGCCGGTTCCAGGGACCCCTCAGTGGGCCTGGGGGCGGGGCTAGTGTTTGTGGCACTGTTTCCCTCCTCTATCCATCGGCTGGTCCTGCTTGGTCAGTGTCGGTCCGTGGCTGCTGGCCATTTGGGTGGTCGGAGCGCTCCCTTGGGTTTGTGCGTGGAGAGAATTTCTGGGTCACACGTCGACTGTTTCTCTCTGTAGGAAACCCTAACCGTTGTCTACGTGTATCCTGGGAGAAGCGTCTGCTCGGGTCCTGATTGGGTTGCTCTCTGTGACTGTGTTGGAGAGTCCTGTGTTCTGGGGATTCGATCCTTACCAGTTACATGGTTTACAAACACCAAAATAAATAAAATAATAACTGATGCCTAACATTGTACATACTCAGAGAGAAGCATGTGATATTTTGACACATGTATACATTTTGTAGTGTTCCAGTCACGGTAAGTGAATTGTGGACACATTCAAAACTCTTCGAGTTTTATTTTGAACCCCTGGTCAAATAGAAAATGAAAACATTGCATGTGTCCAACCTCTGATGAATGAACACAGAAAATATGGCAGAAACACTCAATTGAATGCCACTCTGACATAAGGTCGAAGAATGAAATCTTGTCATTTGTAAAAATAGGAATGGATGTGGAAATCATTATGTTAACTGAAATAAGCCAAGTACTGAAATATGAATATCACATGATTTCACTCACCTGTGGATTCTAAAACAACAAAAAAGTGATCTTGTAGAAATAGATAGTATTATGTTTGTTACCAGAGGCTGTGTTGGAGGGGAGAGGGGATTGAGGAAAATGTTGACTAATGGGTACTAAGTTATAGCTATATTGGTGTAAAAAGTTCTCTAGTTCTTCTGCTCAGTGGTACAACAAAGTTAATATGTGGCATATTTCTCTATATTAAAAATATCTGAGGGCTGCTATTGTGGCACCCCATATCAGCGTGCTTGTGATCAAGTCCTCCCTGTACTTTAGATTCAACTTCCTGTTAATGTGCCAGGGAGACAGCTAATAATGCCCAACTACTTGTGTTCCTGTCATCTAGGAAGGAGACCCAGATGGAGTTGCTGGCACCTGGCTTCTGCCAGATCCATCCCTAGGTGTTGTGGGAATGTGGGAAATGAACCAATGGATAGAAATTCTCTTTCTCTTTCTGTCTCTTCCTCTCCCTCTGTCACTGTGCTTTGAAATTAATTAATTAGTTAATTAATTAAATATTAAATTACTATAGAAGATGGGATTTTGAATGTTTTACCATAAAAATGTTAAATGAGTGAGGACATAGGTATATTTATCATGATTGGACATTGCATCTTGTTTAATATTAATTGGTGTCCCATAAATAAGCACGATTTTTAAAAATATTAAAAAATTTAGAAAGACAGAGACTGTATAGTACAATATTGTTATCTACTATTACTCTACTGTGCAACAAAATACCAGAATTTCTTTGCCACAAGATAGCTTTGTGTGCTTATACTATATATACATGGAGGATAAATAAGTAGTCTTTTGTAATTAATCTCTTTCAATTGATATTATGCTTGCTAGCTTCATCCATATATGGTCACATAAGAGTTCTTACTGTTATTTTCTTTGCTACCATTGTGGAAATACATCATAATTTATTTATCCAGTCCAGTCTTGATGGACATACTTACTAGTGGAGTTTGTGATTTGGGGTTATTACAAACAGTGATGCTTTAAAACTTTTAAAACTGTGTGCAGTTTGTAAACCCATCTATGCTTTAGGTCTACATTGAAAAATGGAATGCATGAGTTTTG